AACACCTGGGCACCATTTACAGCTCTGGACACACGCTGGATCAGGAAATCGCAGTGAGAATTGGGATGGCAAAAAGCGCATTTGCGCAAGTTTCCGCACCTATTCTTACCAACCGTCATATTCCAGAAGCCACCAGAGTGAGACTATTTAAATCATTGATCGAAAGCCGACTCTTCTTTGGACTTGGCTCGTGGAGCACTCCAACAGCCAGGCAGATGGGTAGGATTCAGGCGGCACTCCTGACCATGCTGCGCAAACTTTTCCGCATGACTGTTGATGAGATCTCCACCACGACAGCTGCATCCATTTTCCATCGTGCTCACATTTGCTCTCTGCGTGCCAGGCTAGCTTTTGACAGACTGATGTATGCACAAAGAGTTTGGGAGTGTGGTCCAGAGATGTTGATGCATGCAATACATCGTGAAGAGGCGCTCACGCAGGATTCATGGCTAGTAGGACTGAAGCATGATTTGCATTGGTTGTGCCAACTGGACACGAAGGGAGTGCAGGCATTACACCAGTTGGCAGAAGTTGGAGACCCATCAGCTTTTGATTTGTCAGACCTTTTCGACTTCTGGCAGACGGGCTCGAAAGCATGGAAAGTCTGTGTGAGCAGAGCTTGGAAGAGATTTCAACAACAAGAGGGAATGATGAATACCATACACTACATGCACAAATCTTTCTTCAGAATCCTGACCAGTGCAGGGGCCACCTTTGAGCCGGAACCATTTGCCACGACCCCCAACTTGGGCTCATCCCACATTTGCCATTGTGGGAGAAGCTTCACCTCGCCTCAAGGACTCGCTTGCCACAAGCGGAAAATGCATGGAGAGTTTGCGCAAGAAAGATCCATGATGGGAGGGGTGACTTGTCAGGAATGTCTAAGATTCTTTTGGACCAAACAGCGTCTATTTCAGCACCTCTCGTATGTGTCCAGAGTCACAAAGGTGAATCAGTGCTTCCAGGCTCTCAAAAAGCGTGGCGTTGCAATAGAGCCTGAAATTGGTGATTACCACAAGCTGCCACAAGAGGTCAAAGGTCTCTCCAGAGTGGAGGCGCTACAAGCGCAAGGGCCCCGACAACCTCTGCAAGACTCTGCTGCTCAACAGAGATTTGACACTGAGGCTGAAATTATGCGAATTGATGCAGATCTAGTGCTGGAGCAAGTGCCGATCAATTTAGAAGAATGCCGAGAGCAAGTGCGTTCATTTCTGACTCAGACCACTCTTGGATGGTTTGAGGTGTTCAGTCAGAATGGCTTCGATGAAGATTTGGCCTCCGATTTGCCAGATCGATGGCTTGCCTGCATTTTTCAATTTGATGAGGGGCTGGATGAATGGGTTGAGGCCGAAATTTTGCGATGGGGACAATTTGATCTTTCAGATGTCACCGACACCCTTATGGATGGCGTTGCAGAACATCTGATTGAAGAGGCGTTCACAGAAATGGCGGCAGAGCTCCCGCGTCAGCAACTGATGTACAGGCGAGCCCACCTGATTGCCAAGCAGAGACGCCTGGAGGAAGAGAAAGACAGTATCTTCCCACACCGACCTGTCAAATATGGATCAGCCAATACCCGTGAACGGGCACTTACAGCAGCACAAGTTCCGACGCTGTTTGAGGATCAGATTTCCTTTTTGCAACAGACTGCTCAAGCAAAATGGTTTGACCTACCATCTGAATTGGGAGTCCCGTTTCTCCGCCAGCCATCAGAGCCCAAGCTCTTTGTGATTGCACACCTTTTCAGCGGACGAAGACGTGGAGGTGATGTCCATGAACGGCTCCATTTCTGGGCCGAACGCAAAGGATTGCATATCCTGGTGTTGTCATTGGACACAGCCAATTCGATTGAGTATGGCAATTTACACCACCAGTCCACCACCTGGGGTAAGCTTGTGCAGCTCTATCAACAAGGCAAGATCTCAGCCACGTTGACTGGGTCTCCTTGCGAGACATGGTCAGCAGCCAGACACCATAATCCGGATGCTGATGGCGAGGCACAGCACTTGCAACCACAGCCACCGCGTCGACGCATGCCGAGACCACTGCGAGATGCCACACGGTTGCTGGGCAAGAAATTTCTTAGCCCCAGAGAACTGCGCCAGCTACAACAGGGAACGTTCTTCTTTATGCAGAGCCTCCTTACAATGGCTTGGTCCCTTGTGAGTGGAGCGCTATATCTTAGCGAACATCCAGCACTTCCTGTTCTGGAGGAAGCCGCGAGCATTTGGAAGACTCCTTGGGTCCGACTACTATGTGCACACCCAGAAGTGAAACTGCACACAGTCGGACAATGGCGATGGGGATGCAGTGTGACAAAGCCAACAGGGCTTTTGGCTATGCGTTTGCCACGTTTTGGTGCCTCCATGTACAGCCGACAGGACCCATCAGCCAAGAAACCTGTGGATCAGGCTATTGGCATTGGTACAGATGGGCGCTTTAAAACAAGCGCACATAAGGAATACCCACCAGGGTTCTGTGATGCATTGGCTGGCACGATTTTAGATGAATTGAGTAGGCGTAGTGCGGCCAAGCAATGTCGGGAGTGCACAGACACGAATTCAGATCTTTTGACCTGGCTGAAGGAAGCCAGTGTACAGTGCGGAGAGATCCGCAATGGCAGCTGGTTGCCAGACTATCAAGGCGACTGACGGCCTCTTTTTCCCAATTCAGTGCATTAGGCAGCAAGGATTTACCTTTCAGGCCCGGAAATGGAAATGGAAAATGGAGATATTAGATATATGATGATATATACAGATACCTCTGCTTGACTTCTGCTTCAACAGAGGGAAGCAAGGCTGCTCCATGGGAGCGCGACTCCGGGAACTTGGGCAAAATAATTAGGATGGAATTGGACTCGAAGCAGTCCTGGAAGGTGGACTTCAGACGCACAATTAGGTGCTTTCAGAACGAGTTTGCGCACTTCGGTTTCTGATATCGTCCGAATTTCTGCTAGGATTTCTCATCATATGACCAAGTACTTGGTAAGCGGCAAGCGGCTCACAGAATGCCGCCTGTTTTTCCAACCGTGGCGAGTTCATTTTGCGAGTGTTTTCTCAAGGATTTGTGTCTGGGTCCTTTTTTTGACTCTGCTAAATCCTGCGACAAACTACTTTTTTTTTGAACTTTTTTGCGTCAGACTTTTAAGTCTTTGTTTCACATGCATTTCAGGACTTGGGTCAAATTTCAATAACCGGTAAAATCCAAGGCGTGTTAGACGGGACGTGCAGAAGTGAAGGGCGTAGCATCAAGAGCGTGTTGGAAGGTACGTGAAGAAGTGAAGAGCGTAGCAGCAAGAGCGTGTTGGAAGGTACGTGCAGAAGTGAAGAGCGTAGCGGCAAGAGCGTGTTAGCAGCAGTGTGAACAAGACGTTACAGGGAACAGACAATGTTGTGCCCAGCGGCTGCAGAACGCCAGAATTAGCTGCAGAGAAGTTAACGTAAGAAGTCGTGCCTACCCCATAAACACCAGCGACCTCTGATGTGTTTGGTCCACTTTTCTTGAGTTTTGTTGCAGTGCCTATGTGTTTCGCTATCAACGCCTACTTAGGGGATTTACATTGTTGTTGTTTGGATCCAGCAGTGCCATCGGGAACCCATGTCGTGTCGAGCTGGTTGGGTGCTTGCCTTTTGGCTTGCCCACAGCGGGAATGGAAAGTAAGTGGTGGATTTGCATTCTGGCGTCCTTATTTTGTCAATCACGCTTTGCAATAGTTCTGGTACTGGCTAGTTTTTCCATGGGTTTATCTTCCGGCTGGAAAGCTCTGCGGGTGCAGCAGGGATAGGTGCAGCCCATTCTGGGCCGGGAGTGGCTAGGGTCTGGTTCCAAGGTCGTTTCATACGTCGTTTGTACGTCGTTTTGACGTCGTTTCTTCTCCTACTACTGCCAGGAACCTGATTGCCTCTGGTGCCTGCTGTGACAGCTTCAGTCCATCTCACACTGACGCAGCATTGCCGCTGGGGAGCGGGGCGTATTCAACAGATCTCTTAAAGCGGCAGGCCCAATATTTCAAAAGCCTAAGCCCGTAGCAGGCGCAGTACTTTGGCAGCTAACAACCCCGTCGCAGGCACAATATTTCAGAAGCAAACATGGCCACATCACAGCTTAAACCCGTGGCAAGCGCAGCATTTTGCTGCTGCTGCTTGCTTGCTGCTGCCTCCTCCTGCTGATGTGCTGCTGCCTCCAGAGGGAAAGGAGTCAGGAGAGAGGGGGAGCAAGGAGAGGGAGGAACTGCAGGACGTTACTCCAGCTAAAACAAGAGGAATGGCCGTAAGAACATTTTGAAACCACATGAATTGAATGAGTGCTGCAATGATCGCGGCGCCATGCACGAAAACCTTTAGGCATGACTTAGGGGTGACTTTTTAAAGCAGCGGTGCCGTGCGGAGAAGCATCGTAGGCATGACTTAGGCATGACTTTCTCTTTCGCCTGTATTACCCAGCCCACCCCAACCCACCCCAGCCCACCCCACAAGAAGTGAAGAGCGTAGCAGCAAGAGCGTGTTAGAAGCAGTGTGAACAAGACGTTATTACCCAGCCCAGCCCACCCCACCCCACAAGAAGTGAAGAGCGTAGCAGCAAGAACGTGTTAGAAGCAGTGTGAACAAGATGTCATTACCCAGCCCACCCCACCCCACAAGAAGTGAAGAGCGTAGCAGCAAAAGCGTGTTAGAAGCAGTGTGAACAAGACGTTATTACCCAGCTCAGCGTAGCAGCAAGAACGTGCTAGAAGCAGTGTGAACAAGACGTTAGTACCCAGCCCACCCCACCCCACTCCACAAGAAGTGAAGAGCGTAGCAGCAAGAGCGTGTTAGAAGCAGTGTGAACAAGACATTATTACCCACCCAACCCCACCCCACCCCACAGGCACGAAAGCACACGAAAGCTGGCGGCGTTCTACAAGCCGCCAGCCAACTACTTGGGTTTTGTTCACAGAGACTTGTTACTCAAGTGTTTGCATAGAGTTGCATAAAATTGATGTCGCCGTTGCTGGTGCCAAGGTGCTGAACAGCGTGCACTCCAGAGTTGGAACTTTGAGTTCCATGTTTCCGGGAATAAACACTTTGATTGACAAAATCTCGGACAGACAAAACAAGGCCTCCCGGAGTTTGAACTGTTTTGAACCGTCAACAGTCATGTGTCGGAACACCGCTTGTGCCACAGCGTTCTGAGCTGCCAGGAAAGGGTTGTGCTGTCCATCACTATTGCGTTGCACTCTCAAGCACAGTCCGCCTTATGAAGCCTGTCTCATGAAAGCCTCTGAGAGAATTGTTTTGACCCCATGCAAGTTCAAACAGCTTTGTTTGAACCTGACACTTTCTGGCATGCAAGTTTCATGTTTCTCTCGAAGGGATGATTCCTTTGGCTCAAGTCTAAGTGATCAGTGATGCCACCCGAGAAACTAAGGTCTTGCTGTTTCTTCACGATTTGGTACAAATTTCTCTGAGGAAAATATGTAGGACAATGGACGTAGGATCTCTGCACTGCAGAACGTGGAGACCGTACATACAGTGCGAGCCAATGGTAGCTGGACACTGCGCAGTCAGAAAAAGCGCCACCTTATGGACATATTTCAAAAATATGAAAAACTGGTTACATGATTCTAAATTTGAAATCACACTGTCAAGTCTGTTTTAGATTTCTGATTATTGAATAGACTCAAGTATCAGTCTGTTCAATCTCAACCTTTCATTTGTAGTGCTATCATCCCAAGTCTGTGTTTGGCTTATCTTGGGCTGAATTCGGCAGACAGAGTGGCCGATAGTTGACCCCCCAGCCTGCGCCAGCTTTTTCAACCAATCTACATTCCTATGCGAGATATTCTGTCGACTCACTCAATTTCCAAGCCTGATCCAGATGTTTGTTCATCATAATTGTTGTAATCGCCACTTCTTCAAGTGGAAGACCTCTATGCTCTACGATCTTAAACGCATGTTCCAATTCAAATGATGTTCCCCTCGAAGTTCTCTATGTATATACATTTTTTTTAATGACTATGATATATACGTATATATATATATATGTGTGAATCAGGTTTGGAAGGCTTGGGTTTTCACAAATCATTTATCAAGTTCTCATCACCTTGATATTTTGGCTCAAGTGCCTTGATCCAAAATAGCAAGATTTTTCTTGTTTCTTTTGACGTGGAGGGACCACGTATATGGCCTTCCCGGCAGGGTCCCATGCTACGCCTGTGGAGGTACTCCACCTTTAGCATCTCGTAGTTACGAGGTTAAAGTCCGGTGTCAGACAGCCCCTAGAGAGTCTAGGGGTGGGATTTGCACCTGTCCCTGGAGTGACCAGGGATGGATAGGCCAGAGATCTGGCTGCGCTGATCAGGCTGCGGGATCGCAGCCACCCAAGGCAAAACCTCTAGAGCACAGGTTCATTGGACTAGCCTGTTGGCTGAGAAGCTTCGGAGTGAAAGAGAGAGAGAAAAAGGCGGAAGGATCCTCCTGTCTCTTTCGTAGCCGGTCGTTGTGAGACTTTGTAAATGTATGTGTGTATATATATATATAGATATATACATACACATTGTAGAGCTTCGCACACCAGCGATGCTGGAAAGGGCCAAGGTGGAAGTAGCGCTGTGTTGGCAAGTTGAAGCATTTTCCTTGTCATTTGCAATCTAAGAGGCACTCTTTGAAACTCCCCTGCCCAGTCTGCAACATGCATTCAACAGGTCTGCCTTGGGGACGACCATAGGGTTTATATGGGTTGATGGTACTTTAGACAGATTTAGAGTTGAAATATGTTGATATGAATTAATGGGGGCCAACCCATTGTGGGCGTTCCAGTCTTGACACATCATGTCCAGAGATTTGGTAATGTGAATAGACTAACTATCAGGTAGTCTTAGTTTCATATTGTTTCATAGAGATTATATACTGCTGACAAGTCATGGGTACTCACCAACGAATATCGGGACTTAAGCCAACCAACATGAGTACGAATGATTTACGAACGGATTTACGAACGGGATTATGGGGCCCCATGCTCTGCCTGACTCAGCGGCCCACTAACAGCACAGCCGTAAGTAGACTAACTGCTTGTCCTGTGGCATGTCAAGATGGACTCAAAGATAGACGACAAAGATAGACGACCTTTTTTCTACTAGTGTTTTTTGAACACTAGTCATGTTTAGGGATGCGACCACAATAGGCAAAAACAGTGTTTATGAGGAAAAAACCATTGACTGTAGTTGCACATCATTTCCGAGATTTTTAAGTCGTTGGTGACCCTCAAATCGAGTCAACATTTGTCAGTCGTTACAACCATGTTGGATATCTTTGTGTGTCTGTAACTGTCTGTATGTTATTGGCTCAGCCAAGTTGAACTCCATTGGATCACTCCAATGACCTGTGTATGCCCGCGCCTGAATTATTTGAAGCAGACAGCAGGCAACCTGCTTGAGCAGAGTTGCAGTTGCTAAAGGCAACAAACCTTCAAAACACGAGTTGCCTGTAAAATGAGGTTAGAAACAGAATCTCATTTACTTCAGAAACAGTACCGCTGCTGTTCTGCTCAGACACTGCCTTCTGATCGGACAGGGCTAGAAAGAAGGATGCATCATATTTTCTCTAGCCTCAGCATTTCGAAGGCCTTCGCTCATTGATTCCTTTCTCTACTCCTGAGTCTTCCTACAATTTTATGATTCGGAAACATGATTTATGATTGAATTTTATTTGAACAGCATAAACAGCAATTATTCTGCGCTACGCTTACTATAATGTTTGTCACACTTGTCACACTCACTATACTGCACTATACTTCCTGTCAAGTCCTGATTCAATGCCTAAGGCTTGACCCGAGCTTTGTCGATATGTAGTCTATTTGCCCGGAACTGAGTGAGCTTTGCGTTTGATGCCGATTGTCAAGCAGCTTGATGAACTTGACCAATTTAAGTATTGAAGCATGCTAAAGTCTTATTGAATGTCCACCAAGTGCTTAAAGACTGAAGGGCCAAAAGAGATCAAAAGTGTGTTTGACTGAAAAAACAGAAACTTTGGGCGGTTGCTCTGAACTCTTTGGACCTGCGGCCTCACTGCAGATTTTGTTCTGGAGCAGTTTGAGGTGCTGAGTGCTTCCCAAGAGCGGTGGCTTCAGGATGCAGCGGACTTAGAAAAGCCCAAGTAATCCAAGAGTGGTGTGAACGAAACAAAAGGAATAACTTGGAAGAACTTGGAAGGTTGAATCAGAAGATGAACAGTGCAGACACTATGCAGCACCAGAAAGAGAACTAGAGACATGGCTGCTCCAACCTATCACAGGTATGTTGTAGATGATTGCCACAACACGGGACATTTGTGATTTGACCCTTTCATTTACCCAATTCCTGCCTGGCATCTGGGGTGTTGGGAGCAACCCTGAGAGAGAAGGAATTAGGAAAACACCACATATATACAGTACACGATGTTGGTGAGACTCTGTGAAATAATGGGACATGCACATGCATGAAGACATACATGCAGGAGGTCCTTTACAATACTTTATAACAGGGTTCAACATGTTCAAACAGAGGCTTTGCTATCCATATGCCATATAAGCCATATAAGCCATATGCAATTGTTTTCCCTTCTTTGCAATGGAGAGTATCTCGCAAGGAGCAATCTGCCGCTGGCAAGGTCGTGTGTGATGATGCAGCCAGATGGTCACAGCTTCCCTGGGTGCGCGCTGGCTGCCTTTTACTTTTTCTTGCCTCCACTTGTCTTGTACTTCATTGTTTTCCTCAAACACTTCAGTCAGCTGCTGCAGTTCTAGAGTTTTTCAACTCAGAAATGTCACCGAACAAAATTATAGAATATAGCAAAACAAGCACTGGGACTGCAAAGCATATTTTTTTTTCACATGCACATGTAAAATATTCACATATGACTTGCGCACATTGCAATCTCATGCAGCTGTGGCAGCAGGACTACTTGAGCTTTCAGGAGGTCCAGTCTTGGACAACCCTTGGATGGAAGCCAGGTGCCCCAGATCACAGCATAGCAACTTTATCAAAAGGAAGCCAAGGAAGCCAAGGAAGCCAAGGAAGCCAAATAGTTCATGCATACGCATTGATCTCCGTGTATACAATACTATCCATTCTTTTTATTCATTTATCCATGCACACAGACAGATATAGCATGAGAATGCTGTGCGTCACCTTACACAATGCACGGCATTACGTTCACACACACACATTAAGATCATTCAAGCCAATCAACATCACAATGCATTACATTACATTGCTCCACATGGCATTATATTACATGGCATTGCATTGCAATATGTTACAATATGTTACAATACATTATAATACATTACAATACATTACAATACATTACAATACATTACATTACGTGTCACTACATCATATTAGATTGCATGCCATGACACGTGCCTAAATGTCAGGATGACCACGCAGTGAATACTTTGCTTGTTGCACAAAACTTACATTTTTCTCTCTGCAAGTTTGAATGATAGTAAGCTATTAAACACTGACTAGAACTAGAGAAAAAAAGCAATGACAAAAAAGAGCGAACAACGCACACAGAAATTAATCCTTTGTGTTTCGCATTGTTCCGGCTCCTTTTTCGTTTCTGGGTGAAGAGTCTCTGGGTGAAAAGTATATGGGTGAAAAGTATGTGCAAGAAGAGTTTCTGTGTGAAAAGTATATGGGGGAAAAGTCTGTGGGTGAAAAATCATTGGGGGAAAATAGGGGTAGATGGGATGCTGGCTTTCGTTACCCCCTTCCCAGGTTTTGCACTTTTAGCATTCTTGCATTTTCCAGTCAAAACTTGTTACGGCAAGCCATAATACAAGACCAAGATACTTGTAATGGAAATTGACAAACTGCTCAGAGCTCGAGCTAGTGTTGTGTCCAGTACTTGACCCGTCGCCCCCATGAAAAAACTGAAACATTTGCTGTATGGCTTTGTGGCCCAGTCCAACTCTGCTGGACAGAAACACATCTCCTCCCCGTCTTTTCTTTTTGTTGCTTGTCAGCCTTTCAGGAAAACCGCCTTTGAAGGCAATCCTACACACTTGACTTTGCCCCATTTTCCAATTTCGTCATTGCTTTATCCAACGCACTCCTTCTTCAAAACGAGTATGTACAATTAGGAAATCTAAAGAATTCATTCTTGTTGTCCAAATTTCTATAAGGCCTCCACTTGAGGCAGCATTGTTTTGAAATCCCCCTTGATTTCCAGATGTTTCTGTGCAAGAACGCCCATGCAGGTCAGCCTTTACATTGCTGTGACATTTTTGCATGTTGCTGAGTCGAGAAATGTGGGATGCGGCTCATCCTATCGCCACTACATCCGCCTGGGCCTAGGTTCTTGATTGTGGCTTTGTTGGTTGCATTGATCACAAATTAGTACGCTTCAGAACTTCAGATGTAGTGAATGTAGTGTTGCATGATGCGCGTGGGATGCCACAGTGTGCGCAGTGGACAGTCACTTGCTTCGGTGTGTCTCTGGTGGTATAGCCTGCTATAGTTCGTCTAGATAGCAAATCCCTCCCTACCTTGTTCCCATTGACCAGCAACCAGTCATAGATTGTGGGCAAACACTTTTGGAGCTGATGGACAGACGCTAGGAAATTTCGGGGTCAACAAGATTGCTCACCTTCACGCTCACGTTGTTTAGCAGCTAGCAACACCTCTTGAAAGAGGCCAAAAGAAATAGGATTCCACCTAGAATTCTTTGAGGCAAAACAAATCCTGTTCAGCGGAACTTTTCACACACCGCCTCCCACAGAGCAACTAGAGCACCTAGAAGTTTGGATGCCTCCAATGCCTCCTGTCTTTCCTGAAGGGTGCTATCGCTCCGGGTGCCAGATGGGGCTGGTGCCTGCTAGGACAGTGGGTGCTATGCGTGCCTGAACTGGCAGCGCATTGAAGTGGCTTCGTGACGACGTGGGATTCCACGGCATCCAAATGTATTCAGATTTTGTTATTTTGGTTTGCGCGGGCATGTCCTCAATTTTCCGTTTTTCTGTGTATCATTAGGTCCTTGGTGAGCTGATTAGGCCCAGATTTGCCCACAGACCTGATGTTGAACTTCCAAGTTGCAACTCTGCTCTTAGTTTCCACTGTCTATTTATCATTATTTATCTATTTATCTATTTATCTATTTATCTATTTGTATGTTTATCTATTTATATATATGTTATTTGTTTATCTATTTGTTCTATGTATCTATTTGTTTATCTAGTTGTTTATTTATTTATTTATTTATTTATTTATTTATCTCTTTATCTCTTCATCTCTTCATTTCTTTATTTCTTTATCTCTTTAGCTCTTTATCTCCTTGTTTGTTTATCTCTTTATCTCTTTATCTCTTTATCTCTTTATCTCTTTATCTCTTTATCTCCTTACCTCTTTATCTCTTTATCGCTCTATCCACCCATCTATCCATCTATCCATCCATCGATCTATCTATCCATCTATGTATCTATCCATCCATCCATCCATCCATGGATCTATCTATCGATTTATCGATCTATTTATCGATCTATCTATCGATCTATCTATCGCTCTATCTATCGATCTATATCAATCTATCTCGATCTATCTCAATCTATCTCGATCTATCTCGATCTATCTCGATCTATCTCGATCTATCTCGATCTATCTCGACCTATCTCGACCTATCTCGATATATCTCATACCTATCGATCTATCTAGATCTATCTTGATCTATCTAGATCTATCTCGATCTATCTCGATCTATCTCGACCTATCTCGATATATCTCAAACCTATCTCGAGCTATCTTGATCTATCTCGATCTATCTCGATCTATCTCGATCTATCTAGATCTATCTAGATCTATTTATCTGGATCTATCTATCTAGAACTATCTATCAAGATCTATCCATCTAGATCTATCTAGACCTATCTATCTAGATTATCTATCTAGATCTATCTATCTATCTAGATCTATCTATCTCTAGATCTATCTATCTCTAGATCTATCTATCTAGATCTATCTATCTAGATCTATCTATCTAGATCTATCTATCTAGATCTATCTACCTAGACCTATCTACCTAGACCTATCTACCTAGACCTAGCTAACTAGATCTATCTATCTAGATCTATCTATCTGTAGATCTGTCTATCTGTAGATCTGTCTATCTCTAGATCTATCTATCTCTAGATCTATCTATCTCTAGATCTACCTATCTCTAGATCTATCTATCTCTAGATCTATCTATCTATCTATCTATCTATCTGTCCATCCATCTATCCATCCATCTATCTATCTATCTATCTGGCTATCTATCTACCTATCTATCTATCTATCTCTCTATCTCTCTATCTCTCTATCTCTCTATCTCTCTATCCCTCTATCCCTCTATCTCTCTATCTCTCTATCTCTCTATCTCTCTATCTCTCTATCTCTCTATCTATCTATCTCTCTCCCTCTCTATCTCTCTATCTCTCTATCTCTCTATCTCTCTATCTCTCTATCTCTCTATCTCTCTATCTCTCTATCTCTCTCTCTCTCTCTATCTATCTATCTACCTATCTATCTATCTATCTATCTCTCTATCTATCTCTCTATCTATCTCTCTATCTATCTCTCTATCTATCTAGATCTATCTATCTCTAGATCTATCTATCTCTAGATCTATCTATCTAGATCTATCTATCTAGATCTATCTATCTAGATCTATCTATCTAGATCTATCTACCTAGACCTATCTACCTAGACCTATCTACCTAGACCTAGCTAACTAGATCTATCTATCTGTAGATCTGTCTATCTGTAGATCTGTCTATCTCTAGATCTATCTATCTCTAGATCTATCTATCTCTAGATCTACCTATCTCTAGATCTATCTATCTCTAGATCTATCTATCTACCTATCTTCTAATCTATCTATCTGTACCATCCATCTATCCAGCCCATCTATCTATCTATCTATCTGGCTATCTATCTACCTATCTATCTATCTATCTATCTATCTTCCT